ACAAGCAACGTGTTAATCATCTTTAATACTGCAGCTGTCTTGAGAGAGTCAATGAGGAAAAGGCTTTGACTGCTAACGGTTAACCCAGAAATACGCATAACGACACTTTGGAGATAGGAAAAATTTTTACGGTTAACTTATATACGACCGACACTTAAAATTTGTTTCTTTTTACCATTGATGGCTAAATTCATTGTTCATTTTACGGCTAACGGTTAACCCTATTGAGACCCTCACATAAGCCTGACAATACTGAGTAGTGACCGAGAAGTGTAGGCTTGAACTCTGACTGTGATGTAAATAACGGGGGGGACGGGGGGCGGGGGGGTAAGGAAAACGTCACCATGAAATGACTGAAATGCGCCCAGTTTCATTGCTGCTCCCGTCCATCTTGCTCTTTATGTTTGCTAATTTTCAACCATTGCAAACCTCTTATAATTTTTGGGTTTGCAAACTGACTAGAAGTTGACAACACATCCTTCTGTTATTAAAAAGCCTCTTCACTCCCAAGATCTCGATGTCCTTTTTTTCTTCCCCGTTAGTGATATCTTTCTTTAAATTTCGGCTCAAAGAGTCACGTGTTAAATCAAACAGTTTTCGCTGGTGGATGTTCAATTCCTCATCACTTTTCGATCAGAAAATTTGTTGATGTTGTTAGGAGAAATTACTTGTTGGTCATTCTTAAGAGTGAAAAGGTTAAACGATCACTCTGTTTTTTTCTTTTTTTTTCTGTTTTTCAAAATTGTCTCACGAAGCACATGCAGGTTCTCTTCAGTTAATCATCAACACCAGTGGATATCCTAGTGTCAAAATTTGAAGATTTTGGGGATTTTTGGAAGATTTTCCCTTATTTGGGATCGAGCTGTGTGAGAAAGGAGTCCGCAAAAAAACAAAAAACAATAAATGACCTCCCCCTTCGCCCCCCTCCCCTCCCATTCTTCACCCCTCTCCCTAGATTGGAATATCCTTTCCTAGCCCCTTGAACCATGATAAAAGACAATCATGCACCCGTCGGGCTAATCTTTAACGGATAAATTAATGTTTGATATAATGTTGTCAAAGTGTTGACGGATAACGCTGATCAGCGATCAGGTTAGGTCAACAGCCACATTATTATTAACCAACATACAGGATATGTCTATGAACGCTTTTTGTCAGCTGATCATCTTAAGCGTGCTTCTATCGTCATCTCCCATAACAGGTAATACGCTGATGTTTTATTTCCATACTTTCGTTTGGAGGTTTTGAACAAAAATTTATATTCTAGTTTTTTTTCTGTGTAAATGATTTATTAAACATTTGTCAGTTTATGTACGTTGCGCCATTCGCTCTTTGACGAGTAAAACATGGCTCAAAGCTTGCGTAAGTAGTTGAGGTCAGTCAGTTGTAGTCACGTGTAACTGTGAATGTGATTTTCTGTATGCAGTATCGTCAGTGACAATGAGCTTATAATAAAGTTATGATTTCTACTGTTGCCCAGTGGCACTGACATTGTGCAGTATTATGGGCTGTTATAGGCTGTTAATTTGCAACAAAACGACACTCTCTTCCGATACAAATGATAATTACGTCCGTGTTTTTTGGGGGTCGTTTTCTACTCTCTATTAACATTCTCTCAACTTTGTATTTCAGTTTAAACTTTTTTGGAGAATAAAGGATAAACCACCCGTGGTGTTACACGTCACGCAACGCTCTCTTTCCGGCCAACCGTTACGTGTTCTTTAGGCCCTCATATGAATAGCGGACTAAATTTGTTTCGGGATGTTTTCTGAATAACTTTACTACAAAATAATCAATTATTGCAATTATGAATCACTGTGCACCAAAGAAGCAAAAAGTGGGATGTGGTAGACGATTCTCATCTTGACTCTGCCACAAAACGATAGACACATTTTCCATAACATGCCTTTGTTGAAATTAAAGGAATGAAGGAAACAGTTCTGCTAAACGATGTAGAAGGAGGGTCAAGTGATATTTCATAGTATCATCGAACGACTTTTGTCGAGACAAGAAAAAATTATTCGGGCAAATCAACAGCCTCCCTCCCTGGTGTACTTATTTACGTGAGCGTTGACTCTCCATTACATCAAGACAAGTCATTTTACCTGTTTTGCAGCAGCCCTTTTTCGATTTTTTTCTTTGTTATGGCTACTGACCTCTTTAACAGTTATAATTTGGTAATTATTAGAGACCACTTATTAATTATATATCGCCTGTAAGGGGGGGGGAGTGAGGGGGGGGTGAGGGGGGGGTTGAAGGAGATTTTGGGGTATCACATGGTCGCCAAAAAGGGAGGACTATAGAAAATTGACTACTAATGAGGGGAGGGTGGAGAACTTTGGTTGAGTCAAAATAAAATTAATTTGATCCCTCACCCCTCCCCCCGTAAAGCTCTGTATTATTCTGACGATACTTCTAATTGGCAGCCAATTTTCTGTAGTCCCCTCTTTATACTCTATTGGCGACGACAGATCCCCCCTCCATTCTCCCTGAAAATCTTGTGACCCTCTAAATCCTGCAACCACTTCCCCCCCCCCACCCGAGAATACTGACTGGTCTCAAAGTAAAGCTTTTATTTACCGGGGGGATTTTCCATCTAATTTCTGGCTGACGATACAACAAACTGTTCGAAGGTTTATTTTTATTTCAGAAAATCATGATTGTTAATGTTAAAACTTAAGTAATAAGTGAAACATTCCAAAAGCATTCCAATATTCCGTCGTAGCACTTAATTCACTTCTGAACACTTACAAGGTCGCAACGAATAAAAGTACGGTACGTATTCAATAATTTTTAACTTCATCAACTATTAGCAGCAAAACAATCCAAAAATAATTTCCAATTATTTATGCCTGCCAAGTACTAAATATGAAAGCTGGAAATTGGCCACTCGTTTTCGAAGTCCCATTGGCACTCTCCACTGACTTCATGAAATTGACCAGCACTCCTCTCGATTCAAAAGACTTTACCCCCTCTCCTCCATACCATGATGGAGGACCCTTGATAAGCGACACAAGCCTATAGCTTTTATGAGCCTCCAAACGAATTGGCGGATCAAACATTACATCGAAGCTATAATAATTATTAGTCTCTTCCTTTATGGAAGAGTATGTTCCTGATTCCTTTCGGAGGCAAGTAATATTGTGGGCTGTAACTTTAACTTCGGTAGAAACAGTATACTTGCCACCGTCTGAGCCAAAATGCTGAACACCATGTAGAAAGATTGGCTGGTTGATTGTAAATTCAATACTGTCGGCTCTATCTGAGTATGACCAAATTCCTTTTGCTGGCGAATTGAACTTTAGAAATCGATTACATCGGAATAAAACGCTCCTTGCGGTATCCTTAAATAACAAAGGATATTTTAAAACGCCGCTGTAATGTTTCATCATGTTTCCAACCTCATGAAAAGTGAGAATATCAGAATCGAATACAACTGACATAAAATCCTTCTGTGATATCAGTGGAAATCGTATTGCCTTAACAATGTCCTCCCCAAGAATTCGTCTCTTCGTCTTTCCATCAGGAGTAAGTCCTTGCCTTTGGACTTCTGCCATGGCCCAGCCATCGACTGCCTTGAACAATTCTAGTTCCGTTACGCTCAACTTCTCTCGCTTCACAACAGATTCAACAAAAGATCGCTCAACTTTAAAAAATTCATCTGACGTCACAGCTTCTTCTGTCTGCTC